AACAATAGAGCCTCTAAATATATGATGCAAAATTGGCAGAATTGAAGGGAGAAATAGACGGTTCTGCAATGATAGCAGAATGCTCTGCTTTCAATAATGAACAGAACAACTAGATGAAAGATAAGCAAGGAAATGGACAACTTGAAAAACACTGTAAACCAACTTCACCTAAAAGACATGCATATATAGATCACTTAATCCAACTACCAACTACAGCAGAATACACATTCTTCTCAAGTGTACATGGAACATTCCCCAGGATAGACCATATACTCACTTATGAAAAAAATCTCAAAAATTAGAAAGAAATACTAGAATATCTCTTCTTCAAAAACAATGGAATTAAATTATTAATAAGAAGAAATTTTGGAAAATTCATGAATATGTGGAATTTAAGTAACATGTTCTTAGACAATGGATCAAAGGAGAAATCTTAAAGGAAACTAGAAAACACTTTGATATTAATGAAAACAAAACACAACATACCAGAACTTAAGGGATACATTGAGAGCAGTGCTCAGAGGGAAAATACAGCATGAAAAAAGAAGATCTCAAATCAATAATCTAACCTAATCTTACAATGAAAAAACAAGAATAAACTAAACCCAAAGGTGACAGAGAAAAGGAAATAAATAATCATTAAAGTTGAGATTAAGAAAAAAGAGAACAGAAAACCAATAAAGAGAAACAACTAAACAAATGTTGGTTCTCTAAAAAGATCAACAAAATTGACTACTCTTTAACTAGACTAAGAAAAAAAGAGAGAAGACTCAAATTGCTAAAATGAAAGTGGGACATTGCTACTGACCTTACACAACTGAAAGGATTATGATAATATATTACAAATGGTATACTAATAAATTTGATAACCTAAATAAAATAGACAAATTCCTAGAAATACACAAACTACTAAAACTAATTCAAGTTCAAGAAGAAATATGAAATCAGAATAAGTCTCTAACAAGTAAAAAGATTGAATCAGTAATTAAAAAAAAAAAAACCCTTCCCATAAAGAAAAGCCCAGGACCAGATGGTTTTACTTGTAAATTCTACCAAACATTTGAAGAAATAACACCAATTTTCATCAAACTCATCTAAAAAATAAATATAAAGAAAGAAAAATACTGGTGAATATTCATTATGAATACAGATGCAAAAATTCCTAATGAAAAATTGTAACAATGGCTCTGCATGCCTCCTGAGTTCTCCCTGCCTGGGCCAGGATCTCTGCTCACATAGGTGTAAATGCAACCTAAGGGAGCATACTTTTAATTTGCACATTTATTTTTACCTAACCCCTCCCAAACTTCCTGTGCCATCATGCTTCCCCATTCAAGTTAATGACACCCTCATTATTCAATTATTTCAGCCAAACCCCCAAAGTCATCCATACTTGTTTTCACTTGCCCCACATCTATCAGTCATTTCTGTTAGCTCTATTTCCAAAATTTATAACAAATATGTCTACTTTTCTCCTTATTTCTGATATTACCCTTCACAGCACAATATCGGTGTCACCTGGATTACTAAAATAGTATCTTAACTATTGTGATTCCACTCTTTCCACCCTAAAATCCTTTTTCTGTGGAGCAATAAAAAATGTTCTACTTCCAACAATGGCTGACTAGGGTGCTTTAGAGTCCCTCCTGAGAAAAATAAGAAAAGCTCAACAAAATATATTTTAAGACACTGTTTAAATGCATTAGAGATTTCATAAGTAAATAAGAATTTGCAGGATCAGCATCTGGAAGAAGAGATGAACCAAGAAAGGTGAGTGTGACATATAGGACAGCTTTACCTGTCAAGGCAAGTACTGATTCTGAAAGTGAGACCTGGAATGACAGGCTGAGAGGCTGATCAGAGCTCCTGACATGCTCATGGGTTACAGGGGTGGAAGTGGGAGTTCAGGGACCACCAAAGACATTGGTCCTGGTAAACACCCCTGGCTTTTGGTTGAGGGCCTGAAGAGCTATACCTCAGAAGTAAAGATGAACAGAAATAGACAAGCCCTCACAAAGATTGAAGCACAGCTCCCCCCCACCCCATATAAATGAATGTTGCATGCATTATGCTAAGTGAAAGAAACTATAGACTCAAAAGGCTCTATGATGTATAATTCCACTCAAATGACATTCAAGGAAATACAAAACTTATAGCTACAGAAAACAGGTCAATGTTGTTAGGATTTAATGGTGAGGGAAGAATGTGACTGCAAAGGGGTAGCATGAGGGAATTTGTAGTTTGTTTATTATTTTTTTGGTGGGGAAGGTGATAAAACTGTCCTGTATCTGGGCTATGGTGGTAGTGACACAACTCTATGCATGTGTCAAAACTCATAGATTTTTATGACAAAGAGAGTAAAGTTTACTGTAAGTAAATTAAAAATAACTTTAAATTGAGATAAAATCAATTGCCTTTCTGTATACCAGCAACAAATAAAAAAAATTAGATTAAAAAATTTTGTAACAGCACCAAAAACTATTAAATATCCTAGGATAAATCTTTAAAAAAAAACACCCAGAAGACCTCTATGCTGAAAGCTACAAAATACTATGGAGAGATTAGAGAAGACCCAAATAAATAAATAAAAAGATATACCATGTTCATGAATTAAAATACTCCAATACTACAAAAATATTAACAATCTGATTGAAACTCCAGGACATTTTTTTAAATTAACAGGATGATTCTAAAATTATATGAAAATGTAAAGTGCCAAGAACAGCAAAACAATTTAGAACAACAAAGTCTAAGTATATCAATATTCTGCTGTATACCAATATTTATCATGAAACTATAATAAGACAATAGGGAACACAATAGGGAGTCCAGAAGATGACCCTTGATTAATACATATAGAGCCTCTTGATTTATTATAGAGTTTTTACCACAGACCTGAGGGAAAGTTACAATCTTTTCAATAGGTGATGCTATTCAGTTGGAAATATATAGAAAAAATTAAAACTTAGCTTCTACTTCACATTATGCAAAGAAATCATTTCCAGCTGGTGAATAACTATAAACATTAAAACAAAAAAGACTACTAGAAAGCAACTTTGAAGAATATCTTTATGTTGTTTGAATAGGATAATTTCTTAAATAGGGTACAAAAAACTAATTATAAAGAAAGAGTGAAAATTGGATATTACACCTAACAACTTGTTTATCAATATACACCATGACCAGTGCAAAGGTGGGAGAATCTTTTGTACCATGTATTCCTGACAAAAGTCTTATATCCACAATATATAAAGAATTTCAAAATATAAATGAAGAAAAGTCAAACAACCAGTAGAAAAATGGACAAGAGACCCAAACAGGCACTTTGCAAAAGAGAATATTCAAAATGGTCAATGAACAGCTGAAAAGGTGCTCAATCTCTACAGTAACCAGTGAAATGCAAATGAAAAGCCATTCATAGAATGGTTATAATAAAAGTGATGGACTATCAAGCATTGAGGAGAATGCGGAGCCTCAGAAATTCTCATATACTGCTGGTGGGAGTGGAACTTGATACCACCATTTGGGAAAACAGTCTCTACTAGGAGCTGAATATATACATACTCAATGACAGCAATTTCATACCCAGGCATATATAAACTAGAAATAAGGACATATAGCAACACCAGCACAATTTGTCATTACCAAAACTCTAAACAACTCAAATATCCATACACATTAAAATGCATAATTTGTAGTGCATTCACACAATAGATTATTATACAGCAATGAAAATGAGCAAACTACATGTAACAATATGGATAAATCTCACAATTATAATGTTGAGCAAAAGAATCCAGACACCAATGGCTCTATACTGAATAGATCAATTTAAATAAAGCTAAAAATATATTAAAAGCTAACTTTGGTGTTAGAAATCTTTCTGTTGGGGAGGAGCAGGGGGTTGCTGATTGGGAGGGGACTTCTAGGGAGCTGATAATGTTCTATTTTTTGAGTTGATGATAATGGGGTATATTCACTTTATGGTACTCACTGAGCTATATACACTGAGGGTTTGTTCATTTTTTCTGTGTTTATATATTATATATTTTTAAAGTTAAAAATAAAAATATAAAAGATATATTTTAAGTGTTTTTAAAAAGCTATAAGTCAGGTGATTGTCATGTTCTGTCTTCAAGTAATGGAATGATTTCTTGTAACAGTAATAAGGCTACTTGACGTGACTCTTGCCTATCCCTCTGTCCTTAATTTACATTAATTTCATTTCTTCATCATGAGCTGCTACTATTATTTTCCCTCACACAAACCAACTTGTTCTTGTCTCAGGGCTTTTGTACTTGCTCTGCATTTGCATGATATTCCTTCCTCATCCCTCTTTGTGGCTGCCTATTTCTTATCCTTCAGTCTCCAGTTAAATATTATCTCCTCAGGACTGCCTTTCCTGACCTGTCTACCTAATGTAGCACATCCCACCCACTTCCTAGTCACTCTCCATTCCAGGGGTCAGTCAACATTTTCTATAAAGGACCACAGTGCAAATATTCTAACCTTTGCAGGCCAGATGGACTGGGTCACAGGGACTCAAGACTTTTGTCGTATCAGGGTAAGCAGCTATAAATAATATGTAAATGAGTGGCTGTGGCCAGGTCCAAAGAAAGTCCTACTTAAGGATCTGACATTCAAATTTTATATCATTTCACATGTCATAAGAAAGTCTCCTTTTGATCTCTTCCCCAGCATTTGAAAACATAAAAACCATTCTTAGCTCACCCATAAAAAAGACAGACAACAGGGCCAGATTGGCACATGGCTCTAAATTGCCAACCTCTGCTCTAACCCATTACGCTGAGTTTTCTTCCTAGCCTTATCACTATCTAAAACGATTTCAGATATTCTTGCATTTATCTTCTATCTTTCCCCTGCCCAAGAATTCCAGCTCCAACAGGGAGGGGTCTCATCTATTTTCTTCACCATTGTGTCTACTACCCATCACAGCATCTGACACACAGAAGCCGGAGGAAAGGACAGCCCAAGCCCACCTGGGTGTGACTGGGGTTTTGGCTTGGATCCTGATGGTCTTCTTGTCAGTGGGGCTCATCGGAGCAGACCCAGGATCTTCCTTCAAGAACTCTCCATACAAGGAGTCTTGGGCTGACTGATGCCGTAATGAAAGAGATTCTGCTGAGTAGAGATTTTGCTTGATGGCTCGCTCAAGACTGAACCAGGATTTCATTTTGATTCGACTTATTTCTGTGTCTTCCCTTATTGGATATTCTATGGTGAGCAAGCCTGTTAACAGAAGACACTTCTGTTACTCTCCCCTGCGGCCTGTCCTTATCTCCCTGTTGTAAGGTCCTGCAAGTGGACACCCTTCAGCTCATCTCCCTCTCCACTCCTTCACTCTTGTAGATTCTCCTACTGGCTGCCTGCACTCTGTTGCCTGGCACAGGGCTCTAGTACAGTTAGTGGATCAGTAAATACTAGCTAAATGTAAGAATAAATCAATCTCTCATTTCCCTTCATTCATCAACACCCAGGCTAGATCCTTCTTCTCCTAAGGGGCTTGTATTTCACTCAGCTTTGTGTCCTCCTCAGCACTCAATGAAGAGACTGGGTACACAATGCATCCATGCTCTTCCCTTCCCTGAGAATGCTGTTCCCCATGTCTCCATATTTAAGTAATTTCCATCTACTTTCTTTATTATACTGTATTTATTTGTATTCTTATTTTACTTTCCCTATTAGACTGGAAAACTTCTGAGGCCAGGGAACTCTCGTTCTTCTATCCACTTACCATTTACTGAAGGATGAGTGCTGGGCATACAGAGACCACCCAAAACAGGGTTCTCTGCCTCTGAAAACTCCTAGTACAGTAAAGGAGGGATGGACAAACAGAAATATTTACAACACTAGGTAGTAAGATTTATAATTCAAGCACATATAAAGTGCTGTGGGACCCCAGAGGAGAGTGTGCCCTGCTCTTCTGGGGGACTCTGGGAAGGCTTTCCAGAGGAGGGGCACAGTTGAACTGACTCTTTAGGGATGAGAAGAAACAACCCAGGGAGGCCATAGGGGGAGCACAGCCCCTCCATTCCCAGCTAGGGGTTGGCATGGAATGGTGTGGGGTTGGAGTTATGTCAATGTTCCTTTGTCCCCAGGTTCATCAGTAGTGAGAAGAGTCCAGATGTGGGAGGGGTCCTAAGGCTACACATGCTAGTCCTGGGAAGCTCTGTGGGCCTAACAGGACAGCCTGGTGAGGTGGCTGCTTTTTTTTCTCTGCTAGATTTCCCACAGCAAGGAGAGAGGAATGGGGTGCAAATGGATGATGGACAATATAGTATATGGAGATGAAAGGTGAACCAGAGGTGGGGGTGGGGACAGAGAGACATAAAGAAAGATGATGAGGCCCAGGAAAATAAGATAATCACATGAAGACATTAAACACACATGGGAGAGCACACATAAATTCAGGGTGGGCATGAGCATGGATTTGGGTGGGGCTGCAGTGTCCCACAGTGGGGCTCTGACAAGAGCATCTACATTGCTGCCAGAAATCCATTTTTCTCATGCCCCAGAATAAATTTGTCTAAGCTCAGGAGTTTTCCAAAAATAAATAATGCAGAATGGGCCATTTGTCTGGTGCTGGGGTAAAGGCCCAGAGCTTCCTTGACCAGTGCTGCCTTCCTTCCTAATGGGCTTTAATGGCCTCGTTGGATAACCAGAACCTCAGGCTTATGGATTCTCCCTCAGATGATACTAGGCTTCTCTTATGAGCCCAAAGTTGGAGCAGGCAGGACTGACATCCTTGTCAGTATGGTGACAGAAATCCTTGGGAGAGGTTTTAAAAAAAGAGAGAACAGTACTTCTGGTCAAGATGGAGCCTAGGTAAACACACTTTGCCTCCTTAAACAACTACAGAAAAAAAATACAACTAGACTACAGAAATAATTCATTCAGCACCATCAGAAAATCAAGCTGATGGAAGTCCAACAACCAAGGATTTAAAGAAGCCATGTTCATCCAGATGGGTAGGAGGGGCAGAGATGCAGAGACAGGTGGAGAAGTGCAGAGAGGCACAGGGATGCAGAGTGGCATGGAGAGGCGACTGAATGGGCAGTCCCACATGCACATGTGGTGCATAAAAATCAGGAGGGATACCAAAGGAGTGAGGGATCCCAGCTCCAAACCAGACTACTCAGCCTAGGCCAGGAAGATAAGTCCCCATAACTTCTGGCTGTAAGAACCAGCAGGGGTTGGGGCAGCAGAAGAAAGTGCAAGATTCTCAGAAGTCCCTTCTTAAAAAGCCTGCAACAGGCTTAGAACTTATGCAGACCCATCCCCTCTGGGATTCAGCATCAGGGCAATAGCTTGAAGGGCACCAGTCACTTAACAGGAGAAAGTGAAGTGACTGGAAATAGGGTGAGTACCAGGAGACAGCTTCCTCCCAGACAAACCTTGAGAAGCCAAGAAGTGGCATTGTCCTATCTCTGAGTCCTCCCCCACACAGTACCACAAAGTGGTGATATGGGTTGCCCTGCTCTGGTGATTACCTAAGGCTCTACCCCACATAATTTATGGGTACACTTTTCTACAATAGGTAATGCTACTAAGACAGAGAATCAAAGCAGCTCTACTTAATACACAGAAACAAATACAGGGAGGCTGCCACATTGAGGAGACAAAGAAATATGTCCTAAGTGAAAGACAGAACAAAGCTCCAGAAAAAGAACTGAACGAAACAGAGATAATCAACTTATCAAATTCAGAGTTTAAAACACTAGCTATAAGGACGCTCAAAGAATTCACTGAGTACAACAAGAGCATTAAAAAAAAACCCCAAGCAGAAACAACATTTATATTAAGTGAAATAAAGAAAAATCTACAGGAAACCAACAGTGAAGTGGATAAAGCTTAGAATCAAATCAACAATTTAGAACATAAGGAAGAAAAAGCATTAAATCAGAACAGCAAGAAGAAAAAAAGAATTAAAACAAATGAGGGTAGACTAAGGAGACTCTTGGGCATCTCCAAGTGTACTAACAACTGAATCATAGGGATGCCAGAAGGAGAAGAGGAAGAACAAGAAATTGGAAACTTTTTTGAAAAAGTAATGAAAGAACCAGCCTGAGAACGAAAGGGTCACTGGCTCGATTCTCAATCAGGGTACATGCCTGGATTGCAAGACAAGACTGGCCCCCAGTAGGGGGTATGTGAGAGGCAACCACATATTGATGTTTCTCTATCTCTTTCTCTTTCCCTTCCCCTCTCCCTAAAAGTAAATAAATAAAATATTTTTTAAAAAAGAAAAGAAAAAGTGATGAAAGAAAACTTCTCTAATTTGGTGAAGGAAAAAGACATACAAGTCCAGGAAGCACAGAGAGTCCCAAACAAGTTGGACCCAAAGAGGACTACACCAAGACATATCACAATTAAAATGCCAAAGGTTAAAAATAAAGAGAGAATCTTAAAAGCATCAACAGAAAAGCAGATAGTTACCTAAAAAGGAGTTCCCATAAGACTGTCAGCTGATTTCTCAAAAAAACTTTTCAGACTAGAAGGAGCTAGCAAGACATATTCAAAGTGATGAAAAGCAAGGACCTACAACCAAGATTACTCTACCCAGTAAAACTATTATTTAGAATTGAATGGTAGATAAAGTGCTTCCCAGACAAGGTAAAGCTAAAGGAGTTCATCATCACCAAGCCTTTATTATATGAAATGTTAAAGGGACTTATCTAAGAAAAAGAAGAAGATCAAAACTATGAACATTAAAAAGGCAACAAATTCACAACTATCAACAACTGAATCTGAAAAACAAACTAAGTGAACGATCAGAACAGGAACAAAATCATAGATAGGGAAACCATTTGGAGGGTCAGCTGGGAGGGGGAAGGGGAAGAACAGGGGGAAAGTTGCAGGGATTAAGAAGCATAAATTGGTAGGTACAAAATAGACAGGGGGGATGTTAAGCATAGAATAGGAAAGCCAAATAACTTATATGCATGACCCATGAACATGAACTAAGCAGGGGGATTGCTGGAGGGAATGGGGGTACTGGGTGGAGTGGGACAAAGGAGGAAAATTGGGACAATTGTAATAGCATAATCAATAAAATACATTTAAAAATAAATAAAATTTAAAAAATTGAGGGGTGATAAAGGTCACCATTATTAGCTGTATGGCCTTGAACTAGTCCCTTCAGCACCCTGAGACCAGTAATCCCATCAACCAATAGAGAAATCTCCCTGCCATGCCTCCCCTGCCTGGGGTGGTAAAGAGCTGTCCTTGGAGAAGACTTATAGGTAACTCAGGATTTGGGAAGCCATCAAACAGGCTATCACCAACCTTTCTGCCCCCTTACCTGCTGCCAGTAAGATAGAATTCATGAACTGAGACACTGTTTTCTGAAACCGCTTCTTGATCTCTGCCAGGGCTCGGCTCATCTTAGTCAACTTTTCATCCATGAAGCTGATCTTGTGGGTCACCTGGGAAAAGGCCAAGGAGAGGGCATCGTTATCTGTACTGCCTGGGGCCATCTGCCCAGATCAGTGAAAACCGGGCTTTGCTCTGACTTGCAGAATGTACTGTTCCCTCTGCCTAGGATGCAGGATGTACTGTTTCCTCTCCCCCTCAGCTCAGTGAATTCCTGCATACCAGTCCAGTCTGATTCAAATGTCCCCTTCTTGGAGGGTTTTCCCTGATTCTACTGGGAAAAACTGTTCCTGGCCTTGGACCCCCATTATCATGCACCCTGAAGACAGAAGTTAGCCCTTTATGAAATAATTTGAAAGCATTTGAGCCTGTGTTCCCCACTCAACTGTAAGCTCCTAGAGGGCAGGGACTGAGTCTTGGTCTCCTTTGTGTCTGAGTGCCCATCATGCAGCAAGTGTTCAATTAGTGCTTATTGCATTACAAATAACCAAATGGATAAAGGTCTCTCTAGAGCCAGTCCTGCTCTGTATTCATCCCCTAGGACCCTCTTCCTCCCTCCAGCTGCCAGAGCATCTCAGGTGAAAAACTGTCCTTGTCCAAGGTTACATAGATTAACTGGTACCTGTGAGCACAAAGGCCCCGGCCTCCTGCCTCAGTTTGGAGGTTGCCCTGGAGGGCCATTCTGGCTCTGGAGCTCCCTGTGGAGTGGTGAGGCAACTGCTGGGGCTGCCCTGCAATTCAAACATTCCCTCTGCCAGAGCATCAAATGGTACTACACACTTAAGTTCAGATTCCAGAGTTAAAGGCAGTCAGGGTTTGACTCTTTCTCCAGGAAGCCTTTGCCAATTTTCTCAGCCAGCAGCAATCTCTCTCCATGTTAAATTTGCACATTTACCCCTTCCTGTCCTTTCTGCCCTGGGTCCTGGTCATTTCTACTTTCTTTATGCTAAATTCGGTCAACCCCTTAAAGGCAGGAACCATGCCTTTTACATCTCTCACTTAACCCAGAAGAGGTGTGAAAAAGATTTTTCTTCTGTGGAATTGAAGCCTCAGGTGGAAAGAGTAAGGTGAGCAGTGGACAGATTTGCTGAAGAACAATGAAGTCAGCCCATATGTCCTTCTTTACCCTGTGGGCAGGACTTCTGTACCAGATGCCCCAATTAATGGCAAAACCTTAACCATCCTTCCAACTGCTGGCCCCAGCTGCTGCTTCTGGGCTAATTTTATTTATTTATTTGTAATTTATACCCAGCCTGCTTCCAAAAAGGATTTGAGGTGGCACTCTGGGCTAATAAAGCATTTAAATTGAGACATTGCCTCGCTTCTAAAGTGCTGCCTTGATAGAAATATTTAGTGAGGAGCCAGGCCGCAGGGCTGTAAAAGCTGGAACTGCCATTCTGCCTGTCGCTCTTCTTCCAGGGAGATGGGTGTCTGGGGAAGCCATTTAACAAGCTTCCCTGTGACAAGGACTTTGAGGAAGGAGGCCATCGTACCCCACCCTCAGCTTTGCTAGACTGTCATGGATTTTGCTGATGAGTGATAACTAGCCCCAAACACACACACACAGGGTGGAGCTGAATGGGTTGTGAAGTCTTAGGATGGCAGCATGTGAAAGCCGGGTGGGCCCTTGTATATCACAATACAGATGGGGAAACTAAGGCCCTAAAAGGGAAGGGACTAGCCCAAGGCCCTATGGCCTCTTCCCAGCTGAGACTCGTTGCCAGCCGCTGCACTCAGCAAATTTTCTCAAGGGCTTCTTGCAGCTTTCATGGCCAAAAAATCCAAAAGAAGGCAATTCTCTGAGCTTCAAGGATTTCATGTAGAAATATTTGAGAGGCTTAACCTAGCAGTTAAGATCAATGTTTGGAAATCCTGTTACCTACATTAAATCTGATCTTTCTTCATTTGCTGCTGTCCGGTTAGGGAGTTGTAACATGTACTACACCTCCTTGTGTTCACAAGGAGAAGGGATTATGACCTGGATGCATTTTGCCAAGTCAGTCTTCTTGGTCAACATCAGTGGCTATTGTCTAGAATGCAGCTCTGTATTTAGAAGCTGTTCTAAGGCCTGTTTATCCCTATGCAAAATGTCCCCAAGACGGTTACGCTCTTTGAATTATGATGCCTTTTCCATAACTTTCCAGCCTCTGACTGCACTGTCAGTGCCCCTGGGAGCTTCGTAAGACTCTGCCGCCTGGACCCACAGGGTCCAGCAGAACTACAACGCGAGCTGCATGAGCCATTTGACACATTCCTGGAGCCACATTTAAAACATTCTTAAAAGGTAAAATTTATTTTAATTTAGCAAGCCCACTATATAAAAACTATGACTATTTCAATATGGCATCTAAATAAATAATCAATAAAAGATTTTACATTGTTTTTTCAATCTAAGTCTTGGTAATGTGGAATGGATTTTTGCTTTCGGTCCACCTCCACTGGACTTGTCCCCATACTGCAAGAGCTCAATAGCCATTTGCAACTTGTGGCCACCCTGCTGGACATCACAGCTGGATTCCTAGTTCTAGCTTGCCAAGGCTGCGTTAGGTAAGGGGAAAAAAGCAGTCTTGAATTACTAAGGGGTTTGCCTAGGCCTAGTGGGCATGTTTAGTTCATAGACTTAGAGTGATTTCTCTTGGCTGTTCATTGGGGTCTTTAGCTGCTTATGTCCTTGTTCTCAGCTGACCTCAGAGATTACCAGACAAGAGATTGCCAGGCAAACAAAGTGTTGCTGCAGTTTTACATGAAAAAAATAATTTTCTAATATCTATTGCCTTTGGTAAGTAAACTCATTGTTTTACACAACAGACATGTGACCTCATGCATAATTAGTCACTTAACAATGCCTTTCATTTATTTATTTTTTAATTTTTATTGAATGTATTGGGGTGACACTGGTTAATTAAATTATATAGGTTTTAGGCCCTGGCCAGGTAGCTCAGTTGGTTAGAGTATCGTCCCAATATGCCAAGGTTGCAGGCTCAGGCTCTGGTCAGGGCACATACAAGAAGCAACAAATGAAGGCATGAATAAGTAGAACAACAGATTAATGTTTCTCTCTCCCTCAAATCAATAAATAAAATTATATAGGCTTTAAGTGTACAATTCTATAATATAACATCTGTATTTTGTATTGTATGTTCACCACCCAAAGTCAAATCTCTTTCCATCACCATTTATCCCCTCTTTACCCTCCTCTCCTTCCATCACACCCATTTCCCTCTTATAATCACCATCCTGTTGTCTGTGTCTATGAGTTGTTTTTTACTTTTTGCTTAATCCTTTCACCTTTTCAACCAGCCCCCTAACCCCCTCACTCTGACAGATGTCAGTCTGTTTTTTGTATCTCTGAGTCTGTTGCTATTTTGTTTGTTTTGTTCATTAGATTCCACATATAAGTGAAATCATATGGTATTTGTCTTTCTGTTACCGGCTCATTTCACTTAGCATAATACTTTCCAGGTCCATCCATGCTGTTACAAAAGGTTATATTTCCTTATTTTTTACAGCCAAGTGGTATTCCATTGTGTAAACATACCACAGTTTTTTTTATTCACTCATTTACTGATGAGCACTTGGGCTGATTCCAAATCTTGGCCTTTGAAAATAGTGCTTCAATGAGCATAGGCATGCATTATTCTTTCAATTAGTGTTTCTGTTTTTTTTTTTTCAGATAAATTCCCAGAAGTGGAATTGCTGGGTCATAAGGTAGTTCCATTTTTAATTTCTTGAGGAAAGTCCATACTGCTTTCTACAGTGGCTGCACCAGTATGCATTCCCACCAACAATGCACAGATTCTCTTTCCTCCACATCCTTGCCAGCATGTTTGTTGATTTATTCATGATAACCATTCTGACAGGTGTGAGATGTGGTTTTAATTTGCATTTTTCTCTCACTGTGGTTTAATTTGCATTTTTCTGATGATTAGTGATATTGGGCATATTTTCACATGTCTATTGGCCATCTGTATGTCTTTTTTGGAGAAATGTCTACTCAAGTTCTTTGCTCATCTTTAATTGGATTATATTTTCTTGGTATTGGGTTGTATAAGTTCTTTATAAATTTTGGATACTAGCCCCTTATCAGCTGTATCATTGGTAAATATATTCTTCCATGCAGTGGGTTGTCTCTTCATTTTGTTAATGGTTTCCTTTTCTGTGCAAAAACTTCTTAGTTTGATGTAGTCCCATTTGTTAATTTTTTTCTTTGTTTCCCTTGCCTGAGAAGATATATCAGAAAAAATACTGCTATGAGAAATGTCTGATATTTTACTGCTTATGTTTTCTTCTAGGATTTTTATAGTTTCAAGTCTTACATTTAAATCTTTGATCCATTTTGAGTTTATTCTTGTGCATAGTATAAGTAGGTGGTATAATTTCATTTTTTTGCATGTATCTCTCCAATTTTCCCAACAATATTTATTGAATAGACTGTCTTAGCCCATTTTAGGTTTTTGCCTCCTTTGTCAAATATTAATTGACCATAAAGATGTGAGTTTATTTCTGGACTTTCTATTCTGTTCCATTGATCTATATGTCTGCTTTTATGCCAGTACCATGCTGTTTTGATTACTATGGTCTTATAGCATTATTTGACATCAAGTAGTGATTCCTCTAACTTTGTTCTTTCTGAAGATTGCTGTGGCTATTCATGGTCTTTTGTAGTTCCATATAAATTTTTTGAATATTTGTTCTAGTTTTGTGAAATGCAACAATGAATTTTAGAGTAATAGCATGGAATCAAATTAATAGGATGGACACATCAATAACCATGATCATTCATTCAGCGCAGATGGATTCGGAATCTTGGGGTTATTTTGCTCTTTGAAATAATGAAGTTCAGGCTGAAGTCATAGGCATCTAAGTTTCCTGAATGCTCCTAGGTGACTCTTTGAGTGAATCCTGGCAGCTCCCTCAGAGTCCTTATCTCTGGTGCCCCATGCCCATCAAGATGGAATACAACAGGTGTTGATGTTATTGTCCTCCCATTAGACTGAAAGTATTTCAGAGACTAGAGGGAATAATATTTCTTTCTTTTTTACATCCTTAGCAGCCAACTTGGCATGTTGCAGGTGCTAATAAATGTTTATTGAATTAGTTCATGAATAATGAAGTTGAAATGCTGCTGAAAAGAAAATACATTGGAGATAATCAGTGCGATGCTTTCTTTCAAGAAAAACATGGATGTTCTATGTTATCTTGTTCAGATAATATGGGTCCCTAACAAATGCCTGTCTCCTGTATCTCCAAGTAAAGTGAGGATGTTGGGCTGGCTGCTTCTTAGGGGGTCTGTCAGCTCTGAGAGTCTATGGAGCCTGTAGTATGCAGCAGTAAATGCCCCCACAGCACAAGAGCCTTGCTCAAGGTGACCATATAATTGATCATCCAAACTAGGATACTTTTGAGGCTGCAAGAGCATGCTATTAATTCCTCCAAGCTGACAGGTGTAAACAGAGACTGGCCCCCAGGAAACTGAGAGGTGTGGTTCTCCTGCTCCTAATTCATGAAGCCTTCCTGAGTAAGCCATACAGCAAAGCACCCTATGTGCAATACAAGTGGCTTACTCCATCAGTGAGCCCTTGGTCACCTCAGTCTCATGGTATATGTCAACTGCTCTCTTCTAGATTATAAATTCCTCAGGAATCAGGGACTGTGTCCCTTTCCTCCTCTTTATTGTTCTCCACAATGGTGACTTGAGACCAGGCACACAGCAGGATCCATACAGACTGAGAAAGTGTAAAAACTGGGTTTTCAGTCTCTGTTGTTTTCTCATGCACCCAACAAATATTTCACACGTGCTTAATCTGAAGCAGTCCTTGTGCTGGGCCCTGGGGCAATAGTAAAAACCACAGGGAATTCCCAATTTGGTGGAGAATTTTGGCTTGTAAATGAAAGAATGCTAGAATGGAGGTGAATCATGTCTGGGAGGCCTGTGGAGAGGGAGAGGCAGACTCACCTGATTTGGATAAAGGGGTGACAAAGTTGACAGTTATTCTGGTCAGCAGTAACTCTTCATCTTCTGGTAAGAGCACCATGATTTTCCTTTAGGAAAACACTCCTGCCTCATCGTTTACCCAGGTGTTAGTTACCCCTGGGGCTGATCACACCCATGACTTCCAGGGTGGACATGACACCTGAGCCTAGTCAGTGAGAGCAACACACATTCCTGGCCACAGGGAACATCTTGGGCATGGGCAGCCAATAGAGCCAATGAAGTTGATGTTGGCACTTCTACTGGAGTACTTAAGGATGAGAGGTCCCCATTCTCCTGGGGAGAACACAGCCCATAGAATAATGAGCCCAGAGATGCTCATGCCTATCTTGTCACCATAAGGAGAGAAACTCCGACAATAAAGCCAAAAATCAAAAAGCAGAGCAAAGGTGGGGAAGATCTGATGCAATCAGTTGAAGGTCTGGATCCAGCCATGCCTGAAGCTGCCTATCGCCAGACTTCCATTTACTGAGCCAATATAGTCTCTTTTCATGCTTAAGCCCATGTGCATTGGACTCTGTTACAACTAAAAGACTCCCAACTGATAGTAGTTTCACAGAGAAGGTACTAAGATCAGGCAGTGAATGATGAATAGGAATCCATTAGGCAGAGAAAGACGGAGGGCCTTATAGGAAGTGGAGGAGTGTGTGTGGGGGCATGGGGTGGAGTAGGAGACACAAAAGCATTGAGAGGTGGAGTGGCAAGACAAGTTGCAATGCCCTGGGGTCAAACCTGGGTGCCTGGTTTGCTTTGCCTTACCCTTTTATCATGCCCTATCCCGTGGGGACAGTTGTTGGGTGATACAGTGAGTGTTACTGTCTCACTCAGGGAGGTGAAGGTGACCATAATGGAGTCCTGCCCCAGCACCGTCAGCTTCATTTGCTCATTCACCTGCAGATGAAGAAACCAGTACTCAGTGGACTCCTGCTTCTGTTGTCCCTGCCCAGCCCAACCCTCCCTAACCCACCAACAAAGCAAATAATCCCTCTTTTCTTGGAACCAAAGGAACTGTAAAATCTTTCTGGTTCTTATGTTGGAATTTAGCTTTCATGAAAAAGAGAACAATTCCAGTCTCTTCTCGGGAGATTAGCAAAAATTAGTAACCAATGCCTTCTTACCCGTGCTCCTTCCCTTTCCAACCCAAGCTTGGGACCAACTGTGAAAGAGACACAGGAGTTGGGCAGGCAAGATGGCTTTGGTTCTGCTCATCTGCTCAGGAGATTTTGAGCCAGCCCAGGTACATATACCTCCAATATCCCCAATCTCTCACTTTAGGTGAGAATCCAATAGTCTAGAGACATATGGCCTTTGAACCCAATCAAAACTATCTAAAACACATTGATTTTTGACCCTCTCAGAAAGTTCTGTTTTCATCTAGAAGACACACATTCCATTGCGGAGTCATCTATAATTCCCTCCTCCTCTCACTTATCCCTTCAGCTCATGCCTGAATGCCACTGAATTATTTTTACTGAAATGGCTCCTTTTACAAATATTGCTACTACCCTTAATCATGTCAGGTCTGGCTCATAACACCCACCTAGTCTTTCTATTGTTCTATCTGTTGATCTTTCTCTCTCCAGCTAACCTTCCACAGAAATGCTAAACTAAGCATGCCAGCCCTCAGCTTAAAAATTAACCAGCTGGTCTACTTCCAGTATAGCTGAGTCAGCTTCTAAGAGGCTTGGGGGGAAAAATACCCCACTGCAACAAGAAATAAAACCACCCAAAGCTATGAAGAGTTTAAAAAGAGCAGGCAGATTTTGAAGAGTCAAAATCAAAGGAAAGGACCAGCATGGGATTAGTTACTGTTTCACAGCTTCAGCCTGAAGACAGGCTACAGATGTGGCCCAGATTCCACCATCTTTCTAGTTCAAAGAATCAAAGGATAGAATCTGGAACATCAATAGTCACCGAAAAGTAAGAAAAGATTTCCAGAAGGGACAGAGCCAGAGAAAGAGAGCCTCAAATCCCTGAATTGTGGATGAGCAAGGAAGACTCAAGACAGCTTACAGCTAGGAAAACAAAACAAAACAAAAACTGAACTGAGATTTTAGGTGCTCCTCACGGCAGGTGAGACAAAGTTTGTGGTATGAGTCTAACCAAGCTCCTTGCCTGTTGAAACAAAAACATCAACACTTTTCAGAGAAATACATCAGAATTCAGAGACTCCACAATATAATATTTACAATGTCAGCAATCTAAAATTACTCAATGTGTGAAGACCCAGTGAAGTGTGAGCCATTCTCAAGGCAACAGATCATCAATGGAGGCTATCCTTATCTGATGGGACCTTCATGTTATCAGACAAAGACTTTAAAGCAGTTAATTTAACTATATTCAATGAGGTAAAGGAAAATATAGTCATAATCAATGAAAAAATAGAAAATATCAGAAATGGAAAATATAGGAAAGAACTAAATGGAAATTCTAGAACTGAAAATATTATCTGAAATTTCTAAATTTCATAGGATTAACATAACAGCAGAATGGAGATGATAGAATAAAGTCAGTGGAATTGGAGATAAATCCATGGTAATTTTCCAATCTGAAAAGTAAAGAGAAATGGGAATCCCACGCTTTTTACTGCACAGTGCACCAAACAACAGTGACACAGGTATCCTGTGTCTTCTGACTGGAGCATTTAAGCCATTTACATTTAAAGTGATTATTGATATGGTCTAGAAGATGGTGGCAAAATAGATAGGAGTGAAGTCCACTTCCCCCTGCACACAGGTGAAACACCTAGCCAATTTACTGAGGAACAGAGTGAACAGCCAACAGTACCCCAGCATATATGAAGATTGGAGACCAAAAATTGTAGAGGACATTGAAAAATCAGATGAACAGGTGGAAGCTGTGAACACCAGAATACTTGCTGGAAGAGGAAACCCACCAACAAAGGAACCACCAACAGATAACAACAGAAGAAGGTAAAGGAGGGAGTGGAAGCCACACTAACTCAACCAGGACCTATCTGGAAATACAACTAAATAGTGGGGAAATTACCCAGAACAAACAACTGAACAAGAGCAAGAGAGAATCCTCAAAACCTTGTACAAATAGACAACCCACTTCAACACAACCTGCTCACACCTGCACAACAGAATATAAGAGGTGGTGGACAGAGTGACCCTCAGTTAACCAGCTGGTGGGAAGGAACCACCAAAGAAAGACCCAAAACAATCAAAACTCAAAGACATAAACAGAACCAACATAAATGACAACCCAAGACCAGCAAGTTCAGGAGATCAAGGAGGCTGCACCACTGAATCTTACAGGTATTCTACCATAGAAGTTCACACCATAAACCCAGAAAGTCATAACAGATAAATTTAAGAAGCTGAGGCTAACAAGAAGAGTCTCACAAACAATGGGAAGACAAAGAAACACTCCCCAAATGAAAGGAAAGGAGGAATCCCAGAAAGGATGCTAAATGAAATGGAGGCAAGTCAGCTATCAGATATTGAGTTCAAAGCAATTGTTACAAGGAAGCTCAATGAGCTCACAGGGAATTACCAAAAACTATAGGGAAACTACAATGAACTCACTGCAAACTATATCAACATAAAGAAGAAATAGAAACTATCAACAAGGACCAAGAAGAAATGAAGAATACAATTTCCAAAGAACACAGTAGACAGAATCAAAAGCAGGCTAGACGAAGCAGAGGATTGGATCAGTGAGCTGGAGGACAAGGTAGAAAAAAACACCCAGAAAAAGCAAGAAACAGAAAGAGGCTCAGAAAGAATGGAGAGAGGTTAAGGGAAATGCAGGACAACAGGAAACGTAATAATATCCATATAATAGGGATATCAGAAAGAGAAGAAGAGCAAGGGATAGAAAACCTGTTTGAAAAAGTAATGATGGAAAACTTCCCTAATTTGATGAGAGAAAAAGTCACACAAATACAGGAAACAGAGAGTCCCAATCAAGAGGAACCCAAAGAGGCCCACTTCAAGACACATCATAATTAAAATGGCAAAATTCCAGGATAAAGAGAGAATCTTAAAGGCAGCAAGGGAAAAACAGGAAGTAACATGCAAGGGAGCCCTGATAAGACTAGCAGCTGACTTCTCAATGGAAATGCTCCAAGCCAGAAGGGAATGGCAAGAAATATTCCAAGTAATGAAAACCAGAGGACTGTAACCAAGACTACTTTATCCAGCAAGGCTCTCAATTAAAATGGAAGGCCAAATAAGGAGCTTCCCAGACAAAAGAAGCCTCAAAGAATATACCTCCTCCAAACCAGCTCTGTAGGAGATGCTAAAGTGCTTGCTTTAAGAACAGGAAGAAAAACAGTGAAAGAGAGAGGAACACAGGTACGAAAAAATGGCAATGAATAAGTACCTATCAATAATAACCTTAAACATAGGTGGATTAAATGTTCCAGTCAAAAGACACAGAACAGTCGAATGGATAAGAAAACATGACCCACACATATGCTGCCTACTGCAGACCCACTTCAGAACAAAAGACCTACACAGACTGAAAGTGAAGGGCTGGAAAAAAATATTCCAAGCAAATGGACAGGAAAAAAAAAGCTGGGGTAGCAATACTCATATCAGACAAAATAGATTTCAAAAAAAGAGCCATAAAGAGAGACCCAGAAGGTCACTTCATAATACTCAAGGGAAGAATCCATCCAGAAGGCATAAACATTGCAAATATAAATGCACCCAACATAGGAGCACCCAAATACATAAAGAAAATCTTGGAGAACTTCAAGAAAGATATTGACAGCAACACAATTATAGTAGGGGATTTTAACATCCCACTGTAAAAAATGGACAGATCTTCCAAACAAAATATCAACAAAGATATTGTGGCATTCAACAATGCTCTAGATGAAGTGGACTTAACTGATATATATAGAGTCTTTCATCCCAAAGAAGCTAAATACACATTCTTTTCAAATGCACATGGAATATTTTTAAAGACAGACCACATGATAGGACACAGAACAAGTCTCAACAAATTCAAGAAAACTGAAATCATATCAAGCATTTTCTTCAACCACAAGGGACTGAAACTAGAAACCAACCTCAAGGGAAAAACCCCAAACCACTCAAAGTCATGGAGATTGAATACTATGCTATTAAACAATGAATGGGTCAAGAATGAGATTAGGAAAGAAATCAAAAGTTTCTGGAAACAAATGAAAATGAACTCACAATAATCCAAAACTTATGTGACACAGCAAAGGCAGTCCTGAGAGGGAAGTTCATAGTACTACCTATCTAAAAAAGACAGAAACATTTCAAATAAACAACCTAACTCTATGTCTACAAGAACTTGAGGAGCAACAACTAAGACAACCCAGAGCAAGTAGAGGGAAGGAAATAACCAAGATCAGAGCAGAATTAAATGACACAGAGACTAAAAGCACAATTTGAAGGATAAATGAATCCAGGAGCTGGTTCTTTGAAAAGATAAAATACACAAGCCTTTAAGCAGGTTCATCAAGAAAAGAGAGAGAGGACCCAAATAGACACAATCAGAAGTGAAAGAGGAAAGATTACAACTGATATCACAGAAATATACAGGATTGTAAGAAATTACTATGAAGAACTATATGCCAAGAAATTTAAAGACCTAGATGAAATGGACAAATTTCTAGAAAAATATAATCTTCCAAAACTCAATGAAGAAGAAGTAGAAAGCCTGAACAGACCAATAACACCTGATGAAGTTGAAACAGTAATCAAAAAGCTTCCAACACACAAAAGCCCTGGACCAGACAGTTTCACAGGAAAATTTTACAAAGTTTTTAAGGGAGAGCTAACCCCCATCTTCCACAGATTATTTCAAAAAATTCAAGAAGATGGAAGATTCCCAAACTCTTTTAATGAAGCCAGCATCATCCTAATCCCCAAACCAGATAAAGACAC